CGCGGGGTGGGCGCCGTGTGGGGCCTCCACTCGGGGCTGTGCGGTGGGGTTCCCTGGGAACGCAAGATGCGACGCTTCAAACACTTATTTGAACAAGAACTTGGGTAGAAACGCAGTTTCACGGAACTTTTCGGAAAGATTTAAGTTTTCGCTTGCTTATCAGTGAGCGTTCCTGATTAAGTATAAGCTTTGAAGAGGGGAAAAGGCAAGCCGAGTATCTGTGGAGAGATCACTTAAAACTCTAGCAGTGCACCCGGGCACGGGGGCTGGCAAAGTGCTTGTCGCAAAGCAACTGTGAAGGGACTTAGGAAGGAAAGATAACTGGGCTGCACGTGCGAAGTGTGGGTAGATTATAGTAAACTCAATCAAAGAGGAGATAAAGAAGAGGGTAAAGAAATAGACTGGGGAAAAAAAAAAAAAACAAACAACCCAACACCTTTTCTATTGAATATCTCCTTCTCAGCTCTAGAGGAGAGGTGAAACAGATTGTTTATCAGGCACTACTGGTTAATCAAAGCATAACGCAAGGCTCCCTGCTTTTGCAGGAAATTGGTAGGTTTTCTCATTCATGCCAGAACAAATACGCTGATCCTTAAGACACTTCGGAGATCTTGGAAGATAGCAAAGCAGGACTTGAACTTTCACATCCTGGGTAGAAGCACTATTTAACTGATAATGCAAACACCTTTGGAAGTGTGCCACTCCACCTGATGGGACGTGAGAAGTCCCAAAACTTAACAAGGAAAGGAGATTGTTATCTACCTCACTTTCCCTGCTAAACCGAAAGACTTTTTCCAAAAGCCTCTTTTTACAAAAATCAGAGTAGCGTTCCATGATCTATAAATAAAAAAAATAGCAGTACGAAGCTGAATTGCATTGAATGTATCCAGATGAACTCAATCTGAAAGTAGAGTTGTACATAAATGCTCTACCAATGTTGTTGCTGTACAAACACAGACTGAAAAGACAGTTTGTGTCCCAGATGGCTTATTTAAATCTAAGCTGTCACATTTAAGTTATGTAGTGCTCTCTGTGCTCCATGTGTGTTCTAAGCCACCTACAACTAAAAACAGGTTTCCTTGTTCTGATCCTTCGATACTGCAAGTATGAGAAAAGGCATGTCAAACTCCCAAAACATTTTCATTTTTAAACAAATGTTTGTTGGAAGATAAGTTTAGCTCTATTTCTAGACAGGAGGAAAGTGGGAACAGGAGTGATAAAATACAAGATCATCATAGAGCACTTTTAGTGGAGTCAAAGTATTAATTAAAAATTTGTTTAATTATGGAAACCACCAAGGGGCTGCAGTTTTGATACCGTGGGATGCTTGAGACTGATAGTTCATCACCAGATGCTCTTGAGACATGCATGAAGAATGCTTAAGATGAACATGGTGCTGAACTGAAGATGCTCAGTTCCAGAGATCATAGCCCTTATTTATGCCCTCATTACACAGAGTCTGAAGTGTATTTTCAGTAGTGCCAACACCAGTTCTTTTCTCTGTAGTTCAGTCACTCTGAGGGATTGTACTGTAGACAGCTTGTTGGTGACCAGTGCTATGGACACAAGTTGGTTATACTTGCTTAGAACAACCCACTGCTTAAAATAATCGTGATGATCTGTCTGCACTAGAGTTGCCAGGGTTGCTAGTGCTGGCGGAGAGTCTTAAATCAGAGAACTGACACTATGGAAATATTTTAAAATCTGGTCTAGGGACGTGATCCTGTAGATACTATTGATCTAATGCTGTCTAGCATGAGAACTCTTAAAGCACCAGATTTCATAGTAAATAAACATTACTACCAAATAATGACTTTTGTGCAGAATGAGAATTTACATATAGGCTGGCTTACTACTTTCATAATCCTGAACCTTGGTAGCAAGCTGAGTAGTCATCAGCATTTAGCTGATTCTGAGCATTGTGCATCCCCTTTGCCTCCATTTTGGAAGAGGAAAGCTAGGGTCCTAAAGTATTCATTGCACCAACACTTCCATGTGAACACCACAGTGAAGTGATGTTGGTCAGCCTAAGGTGTTGGGCAGCTCAGCTGTTGCAAAATGAAATAGGCTTGTTTCTAGTGTGTCAAAAAAAAAACAAAACAACCTCAAACTACAAAAACCCCCAAACAACCAAACACAAAAAACCCCAAACCAAATAATAACCAAGGAACTAAATGTTCCCTCAGTATTAGCGAATCTAACCTTTGCCACCTTTTCTTTTGACCACCATCTCCAGCCACTCTAATGCTGATTTTCTTTGAATGCCATGTATCTTTTTAGAATGCATCTACACTAAACACTTATGCCTGGATGGGAGGCAGATACACTTGGAAATTTATGACCCTTGTTCACAGGTAAGAGTTTTAGGGGGCAAAGAAAGGCTGTTCCTCATTCTACCTATGTAATGGTAAAAGAGTTGGGGGGTTACAACCTTTCTGTCTGGTTCTTGGAATTTGTGCTTGCTGGGTTTTTTGAGAAGACTGAAATTTTGTAGTTGCTGTGGCTCAGAACTGCTGAGTAGTTTCCCATTTCATGGAAGAAGCCCTTCATTGCTTAAATTTTCTGTATATGCTTTTGCATTTTTGGAACATTAATAATAGAAATAACTTTTCCCGCTTCTGCATTATGTAGGTAAATACAGAGAAAAGTTACAGGATTATATGCAGTTTTCTCAAATGCCTGAAATGGGTGAGATTTAGTTTATAAAGCAAGCAGTTTATCAAATGTCTGCAGAAATGGTCAAAGTAGATAGGCCTGGAAGTAAGACTTGCATTCACAGAACAGATCCAAGGAAAGCCATAATGCAGGCTTGTACGTGTTGACAGCTAAACTTTGATCACAATAAACCACTTTATTACAAAGCTTTTCCTATT